GGAATCCCTAGGAATCCTTAGGATTCCATTGGATCCTAAGGCCGTTGCCACTGCGACTGTCATTGCGAATGCGACTGCGACTGCGAGAACAGCAGAATTCTACAACTGGATTCTCACCTGAATCTTAAGGGGAATGCTTCCAGATATGCTTATACACATCGCTGTTAGGTTGCTTCGCTGGGATCGTTTATTTTAGAAGGCGCGGGCCCTGTCCGCGGAGGTAAGGCCGGCGCGTTCTAAGAAGCGGCTTCCTTCTTGAGCACCCATCACACGGTTTCGGGCCCCCATGGAGAGCTCTGCGCGCCGATGTTGGTGCACCTCTCACACGCCACGTGCCCACATATCGGGTATGGCCAGGACCCCGGTTAAGGGGAGCTGGTTAGTGATTGGTCCCCGAAGCCCAAGATATGGATTGGAATCATTAAACCATGTCTGCCGTAGCTCATGTTTTTCGGGTTACGGCAATTCCGGTTGGTGGAATGGGTCGGGGGGACGCCCCCCGGTACACATCAGTAAACCAGGTCCCACCAAACCCAGTTCTGCCAACGCCCGACCATGTACGAATCCCCACCCATTGCTTCAGTGAGTACGGGGACCCGCGCCCACCTCAGCACACCCACCATACGTTTCATGTCTCCATAGGGGAGCCCAAGCTACGGTACCAGTGAGGTGGCGCGTATGCCGCCCAGCGGCCATTTTTTGCACCCACCTCACACGCTTGGTGCTCCTATAGGGAGCAGCGGGCGCTGGCGCATGCTTTCCCGCGCCCATTTCGCCACCCTCCTCATACGTTTCACGCCTTCATTGGGGTCCCATTCACGGCCACAGTGGGCGCAAATGGACGTCGCTCCGCGCGCATGTCGGTACACCTCTCATACGTGTCTTACCCCCACAGAGCTCCACCTATGGCCTCAGTGGGCGCAAGCGCATGTTGTTATGCGCCCAGTTTGACAAACCGTCGCACGCCTCTTGCCCCATGTGGGCCCGATCTCCATACATCTTGCGGTGCGTAGCACATGCGGAGAAGGCCTCGCCATGACTTGTACGCAGCTTGGACCCTTCGCCATGCTAATGTGTTAGTTACCTAACAGCGAAGACTGATAGGTTTCTAGTGGTGTCAAAAGAGAGCTGCAGATGACTCCACAGGGGGGTCTGGGCGGCATCCGGGGAGCTGTGTCCGAACTCGTGTCCGAACTCGTTTTTCGCAAACTGTCACACACTTCGTGCTCTTCGACCTCCCAGAACTCCATTCGCGGGCCACACTCTGAATGCCCGGAGCCAACTGTAGGCCACTTCGTGCTCTTCGACTTCCCAGAACTCCATTCCCAGGCCACATTTTGAATGCCCGGAGCCAACTGTATGCCACTTCGTGCTCTTCGACTTCCCAGAACTCCATTCCCGGGCCACATTTTGAATGCCTGGAGCCAACTGTAGGCATTTCGTGCTCTTGGACTTCCCAGAACACCATTCCTGGGCCACATTCTGAATGCCTGGAGCCAACTGTAGGCCACTTCGTGTTCTTCGAGTTCCCAGAACTCCACTCCCGGGCCACATTTTGAATGCCCGGAGCCAACTGTAGGCCACTTCGTGGTGTTCGAGTTCCCAGAACTCCATTGCTGGGCATGATTTTGAATGCCCGGGGCCAGCTGTAGGCCACTTCGTGTTCTTCCAGTTCCCAGAATTCAATTCCCTGGCCACATTTTGAATGCTAAGGCAGGCTGATGCTGAGGCTGAGGCAGGCTGAGGCTGAGGCAGGCTGAGGCTGAGGCCGAGGCCGAGGCTGAAGGCCGACTGAGGCTGAGGCTGAAGCAGGCTGAGGCTGAGGCTGAGGCAGGCTGAGGCTGAGGCTGAGGCAGGCTGATGCTGAGGCAGGCTGAGGCTGAGGCTGAGGCTGATGCAGGCTGAGGCTGAGGCAGGCTGAGGCTGAGGCCGAGGCTGAAGGCAGACTGAGGCTGAGGCTGAGGCAGGCTGAGGCTGAGGCTGAGGCAGGCTGAGGCTGAGGCTGAGGCAGGCTGATGCTGAGGCAGGCTGAGGCTGAGGCTGAGGATGCAGGCTGAGGCTGAGGCAGGCTGAGGCTGAGGCCGAGGCTGAAGGCAGACTGAGGCTGAGGCTGAAGCAGGCTGAGGCTGAGGCTGAGGCAGGCTGAGGCTGAGGCTGAGGCAGGCTGATGCTGAGGCAGGCTGAGGCTGAGGCTGAGGCTGATGCAGGCTGAGGCTGAGGCAGGCTGAGGCTGAGGCCGAGGCTGAAGGCAGACTGAGGCTGAGGCTGAAGCAGGCTGAGGCTGCAGGCTGAGGCTGAGGCTGAGGCTGAGGCAGGCTGATGCTGAGGCTGAGGCTGAGGCTGAGGCTGATGCAGGCTGAGGCTGAGGCAGGCTGAGGCTGAGGCCGAGGCTGAAGGCGAGGCTGAGGCTGAGGCTGAGGCTGAGGCAGGCTGAGGCTGAGGCTGAGGCAGGCTGATGCTGAGGCAGGCTGAGGCTGAGGCTGAGGCTGATGCAGGCTGAGGCTGAGGCAGGCTGAGGCTGAGGCCGAGGCTGAAGGCAGACTGAGGCTGAGGCTGAAGCAGGCTGAGGCTGAGGCTGAGGCAGGCTGAGGCTGAGGCTGAGGCAGGCTGATGCTGAGGCAGGCTGAGGCTGAGGCTGAGGCTGATGCAGGCTGAGGCTGAGGCAGGCTGAGGCTGAGGCCGAGGCTGAAGGCAGACTGAGGCTGAGGCTGAAGCAGGCTGAGGCTGAGGCTGAGGCAGGCTGAGGCTGAGGCTGAGGCAGGCTGATGCTGAGGCAGGCTGAGGCTGAGGCTGAGGCTGATGCAGGCTGAGGCTGAGGCAGGCTGAGGCTGAGGCCGAGGCCGAGGCAGACTGAGGCTGAGGCTGAAGCAGGCTGAGGCTGAGGCTGAGGCAGGCTGAGGCTGAGGCTGAGGCAGGCTGATGCTGAGGCAGGCTGAGGCTGAGGCTGAGGCTGCAGGCTGAGGCTGAGGCAGGCTGAGGCTGAGGCCGAGGCTGACTGAGGCTGAGGGCAGGCTGAGGCTGAGGCTGAGGAGGCTGAGGCTGCAGGCTGAGGCTGAGGCTGAGGCTGAGGCAGGAGGCTGAGGCAGGCTGAGGCTGAGGCCGCAGGCTGAGGCTGAGGCTGGCAGGCTGAGGCTGAGGCTGAGGCAGGCTGAGGCTGAGGCTGAGGCAGACTTAGGCTGAGGCTGTGACTGCGACTGCCGTTGCCGCTGCGACTGTCATCGCGAATGCGACTACGACTGCGAGAACTGCAGAATTCTACAACTGGGTTCTCATTTGAATATTAAGGGGAATGCTTCCAGATATGCTCCTACACATCGCTGTTAGGTTGCTTTGCCGGGATAATGTTTTAGTTCCAAACAGCTGTTCCTTTCCAGGGGAAGGAGTCAAGAATGAGGAGGACAATTAGGAGGAGGAGGAGGAGGAGGAGGAGGAGGAGGAGGAGGAGGAGGAGGAGAAGGGGGTAAGCAGCCGAGCAAAAGGAGGAGGAGGAGGAGGAGAAGGAGGAGGAGGAGGAGGACAAGGAGAATGAGGAAGAGAAGGAGGAGCAGGAAGAGGAGGAGGAGGGTAATTGAGGATAACGGATGAGATTCCGCAGCCACCCTGGACCCGCTTAGCGCCCAGGGATTCCCCCGGGCGCCCCGCGATGAGGCGCGCCACGGGCGCGCAGCCGACACCGCCGAGGCCAGAGTGACGCCGCGATGGCCCACGGCGCCGAGGACGAGGCGGAGACCCCGAGGGACCTCGAGCCCCTGCTGCTGCGGGCCGCCGCCGCGTTCCGCGCACGCGACAGCTCGGGCATTGCCAAGTGCAGTCACAACTGGGGGAGTCCCCGGCTCGAGGAGGTCTGGGGCTTGGAGTCGTTTGGGAGGCTCCAGACCAGAGGGCTCGTCTTTGGCACGTTTGGGGTCGTTGGGAGTCGGTTGGGACGTCTGGGGACGTTTTGGGAGGTTCTGGGACTTCTGGGGTCGTTTGAGAGGCTCGGGAGGGCTCTGGGGGCCCACTTCCTCGGGGCCATGTCGCTTCGTCGAAGAAGTGGCGCCCCCCCCCCCTCGTGGTGACCCCCCGTGGCACTGCCTGGCCCGCGAGGGCCTCGGCCGCGCCCTCGGCGCCCTCGGCTCGGCCCTGCGGCCGCCCGCCCCGGCCGTCGGCCTCGAGGCCCCGCCGCGGCCGCCGGGCTGGCGCGCGGAGCTCGCAGGTCGGCTGCGCGTAGGAGTGGCCCCTCGCGGCCCGGGGCCCCGGGGGGTGCGGAGGGGGGTCCCGAGCCTGAGCACGCAGGCCGCTGCTGTCGCATCGCGCGCAAGGATGGGCAAGCTGCGGACCAGAGGCCACTCGTTCCCAGGGTCAGGGGCGGCCTAACAAGCCCCTAGCAAGCCATCCTCTTCCGTGACTTCCCCCTCGTCTCACCCCTCAGATGTATGTGAGGCCTTCCAAAAATGGCCGTGCCTTCGATGATCGAAGGAGTTGTTATCTCTTCCGCCGCGGAAGGCGGCGGAAGGGCGGCGGAAGGTGGCGGAGGTAAAAAATGCGCCCGCCATGTATGTGCCCCGAGCGAAGCATGGAAGGCGAGGGCGACGTCACGGAAGGGGATGGTTTGCGATGGGTCGGCTCGGCCGCGCCCAGCTCTTGCGCGTGAGCCGCGCAGGGCGGTTGGACGCCCTCGTGGCCGCGGAGCTGCTCGCGCGAGACGCCCCGGCGTGGCTGTGCCCGCTGTTGTTGCGCGGGCCGCCACTGGCCGAGGCCGCGGAGGCGCTGCTCGAGGAGCTGGCCGCCTGCCGGCGCGAAGAGGTGTTGGCGGTGCCGCTCCCTGGTGCCGAGGGCCTGCGCATCGCTGTCGTCAAGGGCAACGAGAGGGGGCGGGGATAGGCACAGATCTACCGCCCCCCACTCGCCCATTGATCGCCGGTAGGGGTCTGATAGCCCCACCCAGCACAGGATCGCGCGGATGAGCTATCCTGGGCCTATCGCCGGTCTATCGACGATGTATCGCTGGTTGCAGGTCGATGTTCCCCCCCCTTGTGCCAGTCCCCCCCCCTACTGTTGCCCCTCAGGTCGCCGCCTCTCGGGTGCTCCTGGAAGTGAACCATGGCCCGAGGTGACACCAGTCTTCCCAGGGAGGCGGAGATGGCTTCCAGAGCACCCCTCAGATGGGGCGCTCCAGCAAAGGCCTCGCCTTCGAGGACCGAAAGAGTTGGCACCCCTTCCTCGGCGGAAGACGGCGGAAGTAAGTAAAGCGGGGGCGGCTCCGAGGGCGGGAGCCAGAGGAAGTAGAAGATGCGCCCCCATGAGACCGCAACACCTTTGAGAGTCAGGGTTTCTAGAGCTTGCCGAGAGGCCCTGGCCCGAGGTGACCCCAGCCTTTTCGGGGAGACGCAGATGGCTTCCAGAACACCTTCAGATGGAGCCCAAATGGGCCCTGCGACCGCTCAGATCGCCACTGACTGCCAGAGTGCACGGTATCGCCTCGGCCTCAAAGCGGCCAGCCGGCCAGGATCCACCGTGACCCCACGACTCGGAGGAAAGGGAGGAAGCAGGACGAAGCGTGGGGAGGAGGGAGGCACCCCTCAGACCTCAGATGGGGCCCAGAATGGCGCGAGAAGCGGGGAGCGTCCGGGCCAGGACCTCTTCTAGTGGCACCCGACCCTCCGCCGCACCGGACTGGTCCATGGCCGACGGCCGCTGCGTGTGGCACGGCGCGCGCGGGTTTGCAAAGGAGCCGCCAGCGGCGCGCCACGGCACAAAGGCCAGGCATGTTTCCTTCCGCAGAAAGCTGACCCCCTGGTCTCTTCGGCGCGCCCCAGAAATTCTTTTTGTCGGATGGGCCCCCCAGGGTCCTATGTTTGAGCCAGCCGGGTGATGGGGAACGGGCCCCGAGGTTCGGGGCCCTTTTTGGGGCTCTCTGGAGCCCTCCGCGGGTCCAGGGACCGTCGGAGAACGACTCCGGACGCTCAGCTGATCCTGGGGTAAGCCCCCGGGGTCCAGGACCCGTGCCCAGGCATCCCCCGATTTGACGTTGTGTTGTGCAATCCGCTGCCCCAGAGGTCGGGACCGCTTCCCTGCGGGTCTAGTTCTACGTCCCAGGCCCGTTTCTGGCGGTCCCGGGGCCCGAAGCAGCCACACAGAAGCCGAAATCGAGGACACAATGCCAGGACTGCAAGATTTGGGATCCTCGGGGCTCTGGGCTTGCCTCGGGACCCGCCTGCCCCCTGCCGAAGGAGGTGTGCCGTGGGGCGGTGGCGGTGCGCGGCCAGCGGGTGCTCGAGCTGGGCTGCGGCCTGGGCGTGGCCGGCCTGGCCTGCGCGCGCGGGGGCGCGGAGGCGGTGCTCCTCAGCGACTACGACGAGGACGTGCTGCGGGCGTGCCGCAGGAGCGCCGAGCTGAGCGGCCTGAGCTCGGCCACTCGCAAGGATGGCCCTTCGCACCCTGGATCCTGTTGCTCCCATCATACTTGCGGACCACATCCCAGAAATAATTCCGAGCGCGCAGAAAAATACCGAAACAGTGTCGAACGAGTGTCGCCTCCCAGGGCCCAACACGTGAGAACCCTCCAGTTTCGGGACTTTCTTGGTGCTCGAAACTCTTTTTGGTGATCAAGGCGAAAGTAGGTTGGAACATCATAAACCTTGGTGCGGGCCCAAGGGGCCGCCCCCGCCCGCCCCAGTACTGCCCTGCGCGCTTGGGCCTGCCTCCCCTCCCCCCCACGGCACCCCTGAGGCCGCGCACCAAAGGTCGCTCCTGTCTGGGGTCGTTCCTGCGTGTGTGGCCGGCGAGCAGCGTCACCGACACGCTCCGCCTCGACTGGGCCGAGGCCGTTGCGGGCGCGCCCCTGGACGACCGCCTGAGCGGGCTTGACTTGGTGATCGGCGCCGACATCGTGTACGAGGACCGGCACGCGGAGCTGGTGCTGGGCGTGCTGGAGAGGCTGCTGGTCGAGGGGCGCGCGCGCGAGGCGGTGCTCGTCACGGGCGAACCCGCCTCACGCGAGGGCGTGGCGCGGCTGGACGAGGCCTGGAGGTCCGACGCCTAATGTTTCTCGATGCGGGACCCGCAAGAAGTCTCCTCCTCCTCCTCCTCCTCCTCCTCCTCCTTCTCCGCTTCCCTCTCTGCTTCCTCCTCCTCCTCCTCCGCATCCTCCTCCTCCTCCGTTCTGTTTTCTTATAAACAACTTCCCCCTGTCGCACCCCGAGGCCAGTTTTTAGGGCGGACCAGGCGTTTCGCCTGAGACTTCCTCACCATTTATGATTCTGAAGCTTCAGAAATTGACAACAATTTCACAGATGGATGGCGGGTGGTTTTCAAAATGTGGTTCCTCGCCTTAGCGCTGCGCACAGTCGTTCGAAAACGTGCAAGAGCTTCACGGATTGAGGATAACCCGTTTTCAAAAAGTGGTTCTCGCCTTCGCGCCGCGCACATTCGTTTTCAAAATGTGGTTCTCGCGTTAGCGCCGTGCACATTCGTTTTAACATTTGCAAGAGCTTCACAGATTGAGGATCACCCGTTTTCAAAATGTGGCTCTCGCTTTAGCGCCACGCAAATTCGGTTCAAAATTTCTCAAACTAGGCTTGCCTCGTAGGAGTTCGAATTCATTCTCTACTAATTGGTCCGTTCCCCCCCTAATTCCTATGCCCCCCTAATTTCTATGGCTATGCCTATGCCTAGGCCGATGCCTACCCCCTAACTCCTATGCAAAAGCCTTTGCCAATGCTTATGCCTGTGCCTACGCACCACCTCTGATCGTTCCTATGCGTATGCCTAGGCATAGGCCTCCCATCCTAGCTTGCTTGCTTGCTTGCCTGCTTGCTTGCTTGCGCGCTTACTTGCGCGCTTGCTTGCGCACTTGCTGGCACGCTTGCTGGCACGCTCGCTTGCTTGCTGAGTTGCGGATTCCAAGCACGCTCGATTCTTATGATTCCTTGATTTGGGTCGTCTAATCTATTTGGAGTCAACGCTGGCTGAAATTTGCAACAGCTTCACGATTGAGGTGGTTCCTATTCAAAATGCGGTTCTCGCCTTAGCGCCGCGCACATTCGTTTCAAACATGTGCCAGAGTTTAATTGATTCCCACGATCAACGCACCAGAAATTGTATTTGTTAAAATCCCAAGAACGGCATTCTGGCACGATCCAGGAGCGTCAGGACGCAACAGTCAGGTTGGTCCGTGGCGTTGAAATCCCGAGAACAATGATTTGGCATGCTCCTGGGTCTTCAAAAGGCTGTCTTCCAGCGAGGCAGATCCCTCAATGGAAATGAACCGTTGCAGGGGCCTGTGAAGAGGGAGCTTGGAGGGAGGGTGTATTCCAACATCGTTGATGGCTCTTGGGTTTACACTGGTCCTCCTCCGCCTCCTCCTCCTCCCTAGCCGCTTCGCGGGCGAAGAACGATACAGAGTGTTTGACGGTTCGCGCAGCCCCACCAGCCCATCCAAAGATCGGCACCAGGCGAGTTGGTTCGGACAGAGACGTGTGGCGTCCTGGTGGAGCGGTGGCCTGTCGTTGCCTGCGGTGCCTGTACTGCGTCGTGCGTGCCCGGGGGCCGTCTTGGTAGAGTGGTTGCCTGTCGTTGCTCGCCGTGCGTGCGTTGCTTTGGGCGCGCGCGAACACCGACGACGCGCACGCTGGTCATCTCGCAAGCAGAGTGCGACGACAGTCAACCACTCGACAACGACAGCCGCGGGAAGCGCGGGACGACGACGACGACGACGACGTCGACGACGACAATGACAGGAGTCAACCGTCAAGGCTTATGCTGATCGTTTGATCTCAAAGAGCGTGTTCTACCGCTGCTGGCGGAAAACCGGGGGGGGTCACTGGGGGTTCCCAACCCGTGCCCCCCCCCTTCGAAAACCGGGGGGGGTCACTACCAGTTCGAACCTCCCTTCCTCCCCCCCAATCCATCATGAAGGAGGGGGGGGTCACTACCGGTTCGAACCCTCCCCCTCCCCTCCCTCGCCGGCAAATGATTACCGTTTCTCGTGACAACAGTGGGACAGTGGCGAAGACATTGGGACAGTGGCGGGGACGGTGGTGGTGGGGACAGTGTTGGGGGGGCAGTGGGACAGTGGTGGGGACAGTGGTGAGGGTGGTGGTGAGGACAGTGGTGGGACAATGGGACAGTGGTGGGGACAATGGGTACAGTGGGACAGTGGTGGGGACAGTGGTGAGGGTGGTGGTGAGGACAGTGGTGGGACAATGGGACAGTGGTACACCGGGGAGAGTGGCGGGGACAGTGGGGACAAGTGAGACCGTGGTGGGGACATTGGGGACAGTGGGACAGCACAGTGGGACAGCGGTGGGGACAGTGGGGACAGTGGGACAATGGTGGGGACAGTGAGGACAGTGGGACAGTGGTGGGGACAGTGGGGACATGGGGAGGGTGGGACCGTGGTGGGGACAGTGGTGGGGACAGTGGGGACAGTGGGGACACTGGTGGGGGCACTGGTGGGGACAGTGGGGACAATGGTGGGAACAGTGGGGACAGTGGGACAGTGGTGGTGACGGTGTTGGTGGGGACAGTGGTGTGGGGACAGTGGGACAGTGGTAGGGACAGTGGGGAGAGTGGTGGGGACTGTGGTGGTTGGGACAGTGGTGAGGGCGGTGATGAGGACGGTGGTGGGACAATTGGACAATGGTATAGTGGGGACAGTGGTGGGAACAGTGGGACAGCTCAGTGGGACAGCAGCGGGGAGAGTGGGGACAGTGGGACGGTGGTGGGGACAGCGGGGACAGTGTGACAGTGGTGGGAACAGTGGGGACAGTGGGGACAGTGGGGAGAGTGGGACCGTGGTGGGAACAGCAGTGAGACAGTGGTGGGACAGTGGGGACAGTGCGACAGTGGAGGGGCCCTGGTGGGGGCAGTGGGACAATGGTGGGAACAGTGAACAGTAGTGGGGACTGGGACAGTGGTGGTGGGAACGGTGGTGCTGGGGACAGCGGTGAGGGCGGTGGTGAGGACGGTAGGACGGTGGTGGCGACCCGGGAGTCGTTTGCCGGCGGTGAGTAGCGAGGGGGGGAGGAGGGGGTTTCGAATTGGTAGTGACCCCCCCCCCAGTTTTGTGGAGGGGGGGGGGGGTTCGAACCGGTAGTGCCCCCCCCCCGGTTTGTTGGAGGGGGGGGGATTAGGGTGGGTGTTGCTGGGGGAAAGGAATTTTCCACAGTAAAGTGGCGGTGGATCACGCTCTCTCTTTGATCTGGGAGCATATTGGAGATCTCTTAGGGCCCTTTTCGATACCCCGTAAGCCTTCTCGGAAATCTCTTGGGGCCCTTTTTGGGCTCACTCGGGGCTCTCTTGGGGCCCTCCTGGAGGCCGTTGGGGCTCAGCCAAGCCGAGTACGTCGGCTCGCCCGTCTGGACTAGCTCCTGCTGCCGTCCCTTGCGGGAGGTGTCACTGTTGTTTCATGCCAATTGTTCCAGCAGCCAGGACATAGGCATCTTGCTGCTGCGCATCTGGTGTGCGAGAGGCCCTGGGGGTCATCTTGGAAGCCATCGGTCAAAGAAGGGGGTGTACTCAAGTACGCCACACACACACACCCTGTCGTTGCCTGAAACATCTCCTCTGGCGGCGCTCTTTGGCCGCGCTTAGGACGGTGTTGGGCGCTCTTGGGGCCGTCTTGGGACCATCCTGGAGCCCTCTTGGGCCATCTGCAGCCATATTGAGGCCTCCAGAGCCCATGGGAAGAGAAAAGGCGAGATCGGATTTGGGCATCCTGGGGGCCTCCTTGGGAGGCTCGGAGGGCACTTGGGGCCTCCCTGGGGCGATCTTGAGGGCTCCTGGAGACATGTTGGAGGCGACCATGAACAATCTTAGGATATCTTGTGCGATCTTGGAGGTCATCGTGGGTTTTCTGCGTCCCTCTTCGAGCCACCTGGGGCCCAAAAGAACCTTCTGACACATCGCGGGGCGGGGGGTCCAGACCGAGGGGGAGGGGGGAGGGGGAGGGGGAGGGAGAACTTCCCCTTCCGAAGAGGAGGGGAGGGGGGAGGGGAATGGGGGAGGGGAATGGAGGGAGGGGAGGGGGGGAGGTGGGTGGGGCAGGGGAAGGGGGAAGGGGGGAGGGGAAGGGAGGCGATGGGAAGGGAAGGGGACGGAGGATGGAAAGGGGGAAGAGGGGAGGGGAGGGGGAGGAGGGGGAGGGTTATCAAAATGAATTCCTTAAACCACTCACGCCCAGAGGGCTGGTGGGATTAGCCCAGCAAAGCACCCTAATAGCAGCAAAGGTGAAAAGGTGGGTCGAGGAGTGTAGGAGGTCGAGACACGGCTATGTGCACCTTTCTGTTTTTTTAATGTGGGGTCGTGACCGTCTGGACCAAAATGCAGCCGGCGTGTGAGGCGGGAGCACGATTCCTGAATGGATCGTGAGGAAGTCTCAGGCGAAATGGTTGTCCGACTCAGCGGTCTACGGCTCCTGGCCCCCTTTGTGGGACTTGTGATATGCGCGTTTTCCTTAATATCTATACATATATATATATATATACGCGAAAATAAAAACCATTTTCACGAAACGCTCTCAGAGAGCAACCTGTTTCGCCTGTCCCAGGGCGGCAGGGAAGTTTATAGTCCTACGCTGGCAGGTGGGATGACGGTATACACTGCCCCGCCGCCTCGGGACAGGCGCCCCCGATCGCGGAACGTGTACAATGGGGACGCGCATCAGGAACCATTTGTTGTTCGTCGGGGCATTCGGGGATTCTTCCCTCCGCGCGCTGCGCGGCGACTTCCCGCAGCCGTCAAAGAAGCTGCTGCGCTCAGGGTGCTCCAGACTTCCCCTCAGGTGCACCTCGCGCGCGGGTTTTCAGCGTTGGGTTCCTTGCGACGGTTTCCTGCGACCGCGTCCGCTCTGTATGCT